ACTCGGCGATGTCAGCCCGCTCCTCGGCTTCCTCCAGCTCATGCTGGATCTTGCGGAACTTGGCCAGGTTGACATTGGATTGTTCCTCCTGTGAATGGGAATGCATTTATGAGGGGAAAAAATGTTTCCATTTCTAGGCTCTTGTGTCAGTGTGTCTTGAGTGTCTTTTTGCTTAAAACCAATACACTCCAGCAAATTTTCAAAGAAGTCTAGAGAAGTGTGTGAAATTTTTTCTTCTATTAACTCCCCTTATGCTTTTTGAACTCATTGATAAACACAGGTAAAGCTGCCTCTGAACTTTTGGAAAAGCTGAAACTACTGTGACTACGGCACATTCCAGGCTTTGTTGCCATTGCTGTTAAGGCTCTTGAGGACGGACCAGACTCCAACAAGCAATCTCTGTAACACCAAACTGAATATAAATTATTGCCACTTGGGTCTTAAATTATCTCTCACTTAATAAAGTTCAGATATTAAACATGTTTACTATTCTCTAAAATAGTCTGAGTGGTCTCTGATTGTGCTTGTAGGTACAGCAATGAATTTGGAAAGGCCAGTTTTAATTTAGTCTCCAGTAATCATTCTTTTTTAAAACATCTCATTAAGAACTCTCGCAAAATGTGACATTCAGCTTAAGAACATTTATGGAGCTTAGAATCACTTTAAATAGGGTAGCTCAGAAAAGCCCTTGCATCTCCCTCTCACAGAAGAAGAAAGGAAGAGCTGGAGTGAAGAAAAGCTAAGTGGCTTGCCAGAGTGTGGGTGCGGGGCGCACGTGTGGGCATATCTGCTCTCTCGTTTTCCTTTGCTGCCCCCTCCTCTTTCTCTTCCTCTCAGAGCTAAGAGGTCAGGGGGTCAACAAAAGCCACAGTGGACAGAGGACCTCATGTGCAACTTGTGGATACACACATTCACAGAGAGGCTAGTGACACTCAACTCCTTCAGATGAGTCACAGAGGGGTAAATGCGGTGACGTAGTGCTGCCGTCACCTACTGGTTGAAACATTCCTGAGCTTTCTGGCCTCCATTACTATGAGACTTTGGCTGCTCACTGGATCTCTCCACCATGTATACGACAATGCCTTGTGTTTAATGTAACTAAAGTAGAATTCCTGTTTTCTTCTCACCCTGATCATCTGGTCCCCTTAGGTTCCCATTTCAGTAATGCTTATATCACCCACCTGGCTACTCACACCACAACTTGATGGATTGATTACTCCTGCTTTGCTTCCTTTTACCTCCTACTGGCAAATCCCCTACTCTATCTCCAGGACCAGTTCTGAATCTCATAAATTCTTTCTGTTTTATTCCTGCTGTAATGCAAGCCACAGACTCACCTGGAAACTTTCCCAACAGTCTGCCTACATTTACTTGGGTTATCCAGAAATCTTTTCTCTACGTTGTAGCAAGGACACTCTTTTGAAAACATAAAGCAGGCCACATCTGGCCTGGATGGGAACACCACCCCTTGCTTCTGTGGCCTGACTGTACTTATTTTAAGATGCAGGCTTCTTACCAGGGCCCAGAAGACCTTGTGACCTGCCTTCTGCCTGGTTCTCTAGCCCCAGGTGCACTGTTCTTCTCCTCCATCCTTTTGTTTCTTGAACCAGACTCCTTACATTGCTCCTTCTCCTCTCTAGAGTACTATAGGGACTATGTTTTGATTGATTGAGTCTGATGCTTACAACTGGATGCCAGGTCCACCTTCTACCCCCAGCTGTACCCCCATCCTCATTCTCCCTAGGACATTTTTCTCTGGCTTATGAAGTGCCAGTTGCATCACGTTCTTAGACCCTTGTTAGGTCATTTCTCTTTTATACTTCCTTGTCTTTCTTATCTTTTCATTTCAGTCCTGTAACTACTTTGGCCTCCTGTGGTCTGTGAGCTGGAGTCCACCAAGGCACGTCAGGGATTTGGAACTCACCGCTTCCTCCGCCTGTCTCTTGTAGGCTTTCACCTTTGATTGTAGTTTGTCCACAAGGTCCTGGAGCCTGAGAACATTCTTGCGGTCTTCCTCAGTCTGAAAGAGTTTAATGTGTCAGTTTCTCGAAAGTTTCCCCTCGCTTTCTGTACATACGGTTCTTAATGTCTTAAAGACGGGGGTAGGAACCCAGAGAGGCCCCGCTCTTTCCTTACTTGGTAAGTGAGTTCCTTCACTCTCCTCTCGTGCTTGCGCAGACCCTTGATAGCTTCAACGTTGCGCTTCTGTTCATTTTCAACTTCTCCTTCAAGTTCACGGACCTTCACAAAAAGGTGGATTTAAAAAAAATTTTTTTTTTAGATTTGTTATTTTATTTTGTGTATGAGTGTTTGCCTGTATGTGTGTATGTACACCACAGAGGTCAGAAGTGGGCATCAGATGCCCTGGAATTAAAGTTACAGACAGTTGTGAGTTGCCATGTGGGTGCTAGGAACTGAACCTGGTCCCTATGCATGAGCAGCAGGTGTTCTTGACCACTGAGCCATCTTTCCAGCCGCTAAAGGCAGATTTTTAAAAAAATATTTCCATATATAATATAAATTATATATATATATATATATATATATATTTAAAAGTATTTCCTATCATCTAACCAGTCAATGAGTTTCCACTTCTTCAAGTGGCCCACTGATTGATTTGTAGTTCCTGATGTCTTAGTCCAAATGTCCCATCCTGAACTGTCAGGCAACAGGGATTATCTACCCTTCACCTCAGGATGCCCTACAATGTCTAGCAGTCTTAGGTATTGAAAGTCACATGCTGGAGTAGAAAGAGAAGAATACATGTTGACCGGGAAACTCACCCTAGCCTCCAGTTTCTGGATCTGCTTCTTGCCGCCCTTCAGTGCCAGCTGCTCAGCCTCGTCTAGACGGTGCTGCAGGTCCTTCACTGTCTGCTCCAGGTTCTTCTTCATCCGCTCCAGGTGGGCGCTGGTGTCCTGCTCCTTCTTCAGCTCCTCCGCCATCATGGCAGCCTGGTGAGTGGTAAGACAGAGTTGGTTAAGAGCTGGCAAGGCCCGGCAGGATTCAGATTTGCCATCTGCATCTTGCCCTCTGCTCACATCAGTGATGGCTTTCTTGGCCTTCTCTTCTGCATTGCGGGCTTCTTGGACGA